CTTGTATCGCTAAAGTTTCTCCGAAAGAATTTATACCGGAAATTATCAAACAAGTAGATACCAACAATATATTTACTTTTTAGTTATTACATGCTCTTACAAGTTATGTACTAACTTATGACTAATACGTGAATACGAAAAAGCTGAAATTGCAATAACCAGCCTTGTACTGCAATAAATTTATATGATTCTGGTACTATCGACCTAACGTTACTTTTTTCTCACAGTAATTTGAACTTTGTATTGTAACAGTAGGGGTATCTAACTTTATGTACGTCTGAGCTTTCTTATTTTGTCATTTTATGTGCTTCTAACAGTAAATACGCTGTCACTTTACATGCTTTTAAGAATTACTATACAGTTGTCATTTTATGATAAATAAAATTCTTGCAAAAGGACGAACATCAATGATGAATAACTCTAGATCTATACATGTCCACGATATCAGACATTCCACTTTACACATGTACATCCTAAAACAACTTTTTCGTTTTCGGAAATTAAAGAAGTTATAACTATAAAACGATAGCTGCTCATTTGTCAATCCCTAATCTGAGAGGGGTCATATCTAGTTTCCAGGTTGGAGCACAAACCTGTCATTATATAATCCGAGAAGTGATATATCTAGTTTCGAGATTGGAGCACAAACATGAGGGCGTAAAAAAGGAAATAATTTCTGCTGAAGTTCTTCGTGGAAAACAAACATGTTTGAAAAGATGAAATTGAAAAAATATTTACAGAAGTCAAACAAAAGTATTGTCTTCATAGAAACTACGTTTAATCTGAACAGGAAAACAGAAGTACCATCTCATCTGGTGAAAAAGATGGAAAAGAAGCGACTTATAACCATCATAGAAGAAGGGAATAGTTAACCATAATACGCAAGTTTACACTCGAAGTTCCAAATGTAGCTTATTAAAAATAATGTTAAATAAACTCGAAAATGATAAGTAGATTTTGGCTTATCCATTAGGATTCCTCCGAACGCAAACTACGTAATTAACCAAGTCACCGTGTCACATGAATTGGTTTATAGATCATACAAACGTCAACGACTAAGCATGGGGGGGAAGGGGGGGGTAGAGGTCAACGACAACAAACTAGAAAATCCGTATGTTAATCAACCATGAGGAATACTAATAATTGTGGTAAAGGAAATATATTGTATTTTATTATTTATGTACTAATCTCAGTGTTTTAAAAAGATATTTGTTGGTGTTAGTTGTAACAATCCAATTTCTTCTGAGCATACTATACTTTTTATAAGCAATCCTTTTATCATCGTATTTTCAATTGACCTTCTCTAAAACTTGAACATGTTTTCAGTTAGGTTGTTTGTAAATTTGTTTCTTAATAAAACATCAATTACATTGCTTATAACGAAAAAACATGTTAAAAAACAAATTTATTTTTCGCAACCATAATTGTTATTTTCAATAAAAGTGTGATTCCATTGTAATAAGATACAATGCTTGCATGTTCAAGTTTCAGATAGGTTAATCAAACTGCTATTGTAAATTTATAAAATTCTTTGAAGCATACCATAGAAGCAGATTAAAACATAGAAATTATAAATGTTGTTACCTTCCTGATCTAGGCTAAGGTTAGCCTCTACGATATCAACAAGTCCAGTAAACTCCGATTCCAAAGTTTCTTGATTTACGTGTAAAAGTGATTTAGACTCACCATCTGTGATTTTGTTTGAGGCAATTACTTCTCTAACTGGTTCTAACTGAGGCTTACTGATACATCTTTTAGGTGCAGGTGGTGGGGGTGCTTTTCGTTTTTTACTAACAGTCAACATGCTTGACGTTGAGGATATACTGCCCGAATTAGAAATGGTTGACTGACATTCTACGTTTTTACTGGACATACAGGTTTTTTCTGTTGTGTGAATTTCTTTTTGTGGAAATAACTGTACAGGTATAACATTACTTTCACAATGACTGTTTCTCTTCGCAACAGACGGATCTTGAAATCCGTTTTCTTGGATTTCACTGACGACAGATGCCTCATGATAGCCACTAGAGTCGGAGCTGCGTCGTGAGTGAAGGAACTTATCACCATTCCTTATCTGTGAGCTTAGCCTTAGTTTATCAACCTCTTCCACACTATTCTTTGTTTTTTGGGTTGGTGGAGGAGGAGCTGGTCGTTTTCTTAATTTAGGCTTTATCGTCAGGGCAGTCCTTACCTGATCAATTTGGTAATTACCAAAATTCTGAGGGTCTTTTCGACTACTAACATTTTCACTGCTAGAACTTACCAAACTCTGCAAAGAAATATGATTTAATATATTATGTCAATGAAATTGTAAAATGCAAAATAACACTATCAGCAACATTATTCATTAAAACTTAAAACAAAAAGCGGAAACTTAATATCACCAACTCACACTTTGGCTTTGCGTTTTTGTTAGTAATCCAGGAATTCCTTTCTCCTTTCCATCCTCTTCTCTTCTGGAGTAATTGAGTAAATCAGCAACAGAGGAGTGGATGTTTGCTTTAATACCTGTTGTTGAAAATCAAAATGGAGAAGTTGCTGATTATCTGATTCAACATGCCCAATGTTAAGTGGTAATATATATACACACACACATATATATACATATATATATAATGGTTCAAGCCATTAAGTATTTGCTTTTAAAATCTATTAATCTTTGATGAAGTGATCAAATAGTAATGAGGACATCCATTAGCAATATATTAAATGAAGTAACTAAGTTATAACTTGCACGTTTTTAAATGCAATGCTACACAGTGGGATATCTGTGTTTGGGCGTACCGCTTTTTAGCACAATAGTACCGAAAGCTTAACGAAGAGCCACAGAAGGGAGGCTGAAATGTTAAAGTAGCACAGGTAAAAATGTTTCATTCGAATGAAAAATTTACACAATAGAATCAAGAGGAAATGGTATTTTCAGTCAATACTAGCTTATAATAAATACAACGTACTTTGTTTGGATAGCAGGCTTATCTCTGTACTTCCATAACTAGCTAAGCTCGTATTCAAGTCTAGAAAAATGTTCGGTTGGCTGGGCCGCACCAAGTGGTAGTCATTGGCATCTAGATTTTTATCTGAGCATATTTTATCTTTCACTTCAGTCAGTGTCATTTTAGGACTGACTCTCAAAACTGTTAGCTGGTTTCTTGGGAGTTTAACTTGAAGTCGGAAAGTTTGCTGCATTAAAAGACATACAAAAAGAAAACTTCATTTACGAAACTCTACAACAATTTTGCAAAGAAGAACAAAGCATTTAGTCAACCCAGTTGAACTATTTTTATCTACTAAATATAATCTTAATAGTAACTCTTTAGTCTAGTGTTCTCATTCTTTTTATACCCCTTTATTGCTTTGTGAAGACAAGTTTACGTGTGTCAAGATCACCACTTCTGTTTTCCCATTTATGCATATTTCGCGCAAAGCTACACGAGGGTCATCTGCGCTTGCCGTCCCTAATTTAGTAGTGAAATATAGGGAAGACAGCTAGTCATCGCCACCCACCGCCAACTTTTGGGCTACTCTTTTTACCAACGAATAGTGAGATTGGTTGTATCTCATAACGCCCCCACGGCTGAAAGGACGAGCAGGTTTGGTGGGACGGGGATTCGAACCCACGACCCTCAGATTGCGAATTAAGCGCCCTAACCGCCTGGCCATTCCGGGCCGTGTTGGTTAGGACTGCAGTTTTGCACATTAACGAAAGACAATTTTTAATCCATTATCGGTGGCAGTAGTGTATTTTTGTTGTTGATCCATTTTTTATTATGGTAAAAATTAAATAAACAATTGTGTTCATTACGAACTTTGTAATTTTTAAAACGTTAAAATTTTTCACGTGTGTGTGTGTGTGTGTGTGTGTGTGTGTGTGTGTGTGTGTGTGTGTGTGTGTGTGTACACACAAGTATGCAAATAAATGAGTAAAAACGGATATTTTCTTTATTTTTAAAGACAATAACTCCACCAAGTGTTATTTATCAGCTACACTCATAGTTTTTAGCTCCATTTATTTAACTCATAATATAGGAGTGGAAGGGCTATTATTATAGTTCTGAGAAATTTAACTACTGTCAAAAATAGAATAGCTAGAAACGCAAATGACAATACTGCAGGATGTATTTGAACCTTAACCCTGATTAATATTATTTTTTGTTTACCTGAACAGCACTTCATACACACAACAGGATAAACGGGCAGGTCAGAGACCTCTACATTTCATTCCCTAATTTTGAACTTCGAGCCAGAGAGAGCACAACTAGTCGGCAGTATCCACAGTTTGAAGGCGCTACACTTAACCAAATAGTAGAATTGACTGTCACTCTCATAACCTACCGACAGCGATTATATGCGAAGTTTGTTTAGTAGCAGGACGTCTCGAACCTAAGACCTTCGGATACACTGATCTCATTTTATAATTCCGTGTAACTGTGTATTATTTAATGCACGAGTCTTGGAGGTTCGATGCAATCTACTAATTCTTATCATTACTATTTACAGAGCTACGAAGACAACGAGAATATACGTGTCTATAAAATTATTGAACAGATATTCTACAAACTATATAATCTCTTTCATAAATACTCAGTGTTTTTTTTTTTTTAAATTCAGTATATTTTATAACTTAAGATTTTACTTTACCTCAAACGGCTGAACGGGCATTTTGTGTAGTTTCTTTACTGCAGGCTCCGTGACAGAAGACTTAGACGCAATAAAGATGACATGGGTATCCAATACACCAATGGGAGTATTAGGCCTATACAGGATTTCCTTTCCCGAATCTGTGAGAACTTGGATTACGTGATCTCCTGGAGTAATTTTATTGGCTGTTGTCACCTGCACCAGAAGGTCCATCATGGGCGTCCTTTAAGGAAAATCAAATGTATTCCTTTTTAATCATTGAATAATTACTTAATACAAAATAAAATTCACTGTATGATCAGTTAGTGATTTATCGATATTCGGTAAAACGGACAGTGAACTAAAATCTTGTAATTTTAACGTTTCTCTCATAGATTTCGAAAATATAAAATATCAGGTTAAATACCTTTTTTACGGCTTTACTTTATTTATGGTTCAGCTACTTTTCTATTGCTTTTCCTAAAGATTTGACGGAAAACATTTTGGTTATAGTTAATATTATACACTAAAAATGAAACTTGTTACTGGGAGAAGTGTTTCGTGTCAGTTTTTAAACATTTGTGCGTTCGTCGTTCACAACTAAAGATTCGTTTGTCAGATAAAACAACATTTTGGATACAGACTCTAAACAAAATGCACGGTATAATTAAGCTCTTTCGGTCCCAAAAGGCTATCCAAATAGTAGAAAAGTTGAAATCTACTCATTAAACTTCCACATAATAGGCTCAAAGGTTTTTAAACTGGACAAGTAAATTTCCAAAATTTTTCAAAGTAGTCAGCACATTATATTAATTTCCACAAACTTCATAGCAGTGACATTGCTAATATACAAAAACAAACTATATATCCAATTGAAGTATTCAAAACATTCTGTTGTTTTTTATTACATAATTGAAAATACTGAATTTCCAAGAATTTTTTTGAAAAAAAGGTCATATTGGGAAAACCGTTCAACACGAAAACACCTGATTTGTTGCACGTGCAAAAATAATGTCTAAAGCTTTTTTTACCGCAAACAATCACCAAGTTCAACATGTGTACCACGAGTTACACACAAAAAGGCCAGTTTGCAGTTTGTGCCCAATTTCCTGTCAAGAGTTTAGACATTGCACGAAAAACCTTGGATACGATGATACAATTCATCCTTGATCGTAACCTTACTAGCGTAAACAATGTCCTTTAAAAACAAAAACAGCGTAAACCTGGGCAATGCAAAGACCAACTGTTTGGGCATAATCCACCGGTTGAAGAATGTTTTACCTCGTGCGTTGTCTGTATATAACTTTTCCTGTCATCTTAAATTTGTGAAACCATTTGTAAAACGCCTTATGTATAGGTCGATTCTGCTTGATAACATAGTCTGAATTCCATGTAGACCTGTGTAGAGTAGTCGAAATGGGAAAACCACAACACGCATTTCACTTTCTCCTTCTTAAATCGCTATTTTACTTCAGATTGAAATCCCGCATTTCTCGGACACCTAAAGCTCATTTTTGTTTTTTTTTTATCGGTACTCTAAACAAACTTTGTACATTATTTTTGCACGTGCACAAAACCATGCGTGTCTGTGTTAAACGGTTTTCCCAGTGCGATTTTTCAAAAATGTTCCCAAAATTCGCTGCATGTCGGAAGGTGATTACACTTAGAACCGTAAGAACTTCCTCTTGTTTCGTCAAAGTTAATAATTATGAAAAAGCGCACGACCACGAGATTGTGTAACGTGCCAACATCAACCAGAAGAGAGAGAGAGTACCGTTTTTTAAAGAGCTACAGTTAATGTCAGACCAAATATCGATCCCGTTTGCTTTTCTCAGTATTTTTTGTGAGAGTATGTGGAACATCATCACAAAATAAACAAAATATAAAGCCATGTAATGATTTTAACCACGTTTAACATGTGTAAAATTCAATAGATAAATTTTATGAAGGATATACATATAAAGATATAATGGAATAACAATATTTTAGCAAAGGAGGTCAAGTAAGAAAGACTGATACATTTAATACAGTTACGTAAGTTACTTTTCAAATCTCAGTCTTAAAAGTAATGAGTTGCTAAGTAAACTGTTAAACTGCAACATTAAAATTACTACAAATCATTCAACTAGGAAGACACGTAAAAAATATATGTTTATGACGGCTAGAGCTTCTGAACATTTTGGATGTCAGCAACACTGATGGACAACATCGAATTCTATCTAATATCACAGAAGTACATTTCACACAAAACTAACAGTCTTACCTACACCACAATTATAGATGTTTTCAAGATCGTCTTTCAACTTTACAACTTAAGATTACACTGTACAGAATAACGTGCATCTAAGCTTTAAGACTATATTAAACAACTTGTACCCTTTTTAAAAGTCAGAACATACGATATACTAAGTGAGAAAGAATAAACGTCATGACTACCCTTAGACCATCCTGAACTTGAATTGCTAGCCTTGACAGCAAGAACCCCTAGTAATGCGGTTTGTGAAGAAACTGTCACGTGACTCGCCCACCTAGTGGTAGAGCAGGTTCTATTATGTATCTATTAGTATAATATTAAAGATAAAAGTCAAACTACGACTTAGTTTGTTTAGAAAAGAATAGTCACTGTCCTTTCTTTCACAAGACTTTATTTTATGTAATTAGAATTCTAGAGAAACAAAAAAAAAATCACTCAATCCACTTCTAATAAGTTTTTAAGAGAACAATTCGAAGATTTATTTACAATTAAAAGCAATACAACGTTAAAATCTTACACAATAAATAATTATTAAAAACAGGAACATGCCCTAAAAGACTCCATATATGTTTAGGTGTTGGTATGACACTATCTTCAGGAGTAGCGGCAGAAGAAAGGTTGTGACTTATATACCCACATAATTATTTGCATATTAAAACGCCATCTAGACTAAAACTATCCAGAGTTGTAACACATCTGTCCAGTACTTTATTATGTAGAAACATATGTAGAGTCTTTTAGGGCAAGTCTCTGTTTTTAATAATTATTTATTGCGTACGATTTTAACGTTGTATTGCTTTTATTTGTAAATAGATCTTTTACACAAGCGCCGTTTTTAAACTGTTTAATTCTAACATTATTATAGTGCAATTCTGTTGAGCTTGGAAAACAATATCATCTTGTCAAATGACAAATTTCAATTGTTAAGAGTCTCGAGTGTAAAAATACCGTACAATTCATGCAGTAACCTAATATTTCTTTTACTTTAGTCTCTTTTATCCATCCGTTTTTACGTTGGTTTGTCTATAAATAACTACACATTGATCTGTCCGTCAGTTGACTGGCTACACATATATCCGTCCATCCAACTTTCCGTCAGTTGTTTGTTTATATGATAGCTATCCATAAACTTCTCAGTTGTCTGACTATATTTAACTGTCCACCCATCCCTCTTTCAATCACTAAGCTCTTTATACTTAAACATCCAACTTTAAGTTGGTTGTACATAACCATCCACAACTCCCTCAGTCTGTTTATAATAAACATAACTCCATTTCTGGGTCAAAAATACAACTGTCCATCCATCCCACCGCCATTTGATTATATACAATTACCTACCCTATGTAAAGGGTGTCTCAAATGTTCGTACTCATAGTCAGAATTCAATATTAATCTTTATTTTAACAACTGTTCAAACTGCATACCATCAACTTGCATACACGTCATACATACTTTTTCGATTTGTAAAGTCACCAATTATATATAAATAAAACAATATTAATCAAACATAAAAGAACAGTCACCAGTACGGGCTTTTGAGACATCCTGTATAACTACTCATCCACTTACCCGTCAGTATATATGGATATATATGTATCTTAACCACTTCTGTCTCTGTGCGCTGTCAGGTGACCAGTCACATGCTCTGGCTTGTAAATGTCTAATATTGAAGTAAATGCTCAAAATGCTTATAATATCAATAACCTGAAAAAAAATAAAAATAAAAGGTTCTGAGCGGATGGATTGATCAGCATGCTCACCAGGTTTGAGTTCGATTAAACACATGGGGGATGCTCTGGGGAACACTTGGCAACACGTGATTCACCTCCAAGACAGTATCTGGGGGGGGGGGCACTTGGCCGCACATGATTCACTTCCAAGACGGTATTGATGAATTGGAAGCAGCTCTGGTGGAACAGTGGACTGTAGTGTTCCTGTAGCTTATGGGTTCGCTCATTGCATGCCACATCGTATCTGCTGAAAACTGCTAACTACTTGCAAATGGTGGAGGTATGCGTTAACACTCATTGGAAGAAAGAAAGGAAAATAGTGAAAATAAACGTGAGTTACAAATTTTGGTTAAGTAGTTCTTGTTTGTTGCAAGGTGTTTTGAATAATTTACGTTCTTAGATCACAAACTGCTTTGTAACCAGACATTCAGGGAGTTAATTTAATTAAGAAGAAGGTGTAGAAAGAAAACAAAGTGTGTATGGGGAGTTGGCGGCAAGATTTATTTGACCGAGCTAAGTGTGATGGAATGTGCGCCACAGGCACACTCATTAAGGCCGGGATTTAGGGCCCTGGAAGCTCTTGGGTTCTGGATTAATTTTATACATTATCCTGCTTTACCTGAGAGTAATTTTCCTGATTTTTATGGATTTTTACCGGGACATATTTAAAAGTGGGAGGGCCTGCTTCCCCCTCAGCTTTCTACGCCACTGAAGACTGATCATCGGCCTTCAGGTAACTGGTAACACTATGCTCTTCGATTGTCTTTTGTTTCATATTAACGAGAGCAGATTGTGATATTTACTATCGAATTTCCTAACATTTTAAGTTTGTAACATGAAATATTTCTGAAAAAATTAGGTAACAAAACCAAAACCATGACCAACTGAGAACAACAGTTTTGAGTAATATTTCCCACAAAAACGTCCTTGGTGCATCTCAAAGCTGATTTAATATAATTATTATGAATTTCTATTGCAGCATTACGTCTTTCATACTATTTTCAATCTACAATTATTTTTGTTTGTTTTTGAGTACGGAATGAAATATACATTTCAAATACTCGTATTTCCTATTCTCGTGCTCCCTACCTTCTTTCCACAGTCATTCGGACTCTTCTTCCATCAGGAAGGTAGACGTTAAGATCCATAAGGCCTTCCAGCAGTTCGTTAATAGCACAGTCGTCGTTTGCTGTTGATACCGGAGCGCCATCATGCGATAAGGACTTACATAATGAAGTCCTGCTATGGCTCACCGATGCCGATTTCTTCATTTTGGAACTGTGAAAACTAAATTATAGACAAAGTAATAGTGCTCGTTATAAAATGATTTAACCATAAGTTTTAATATTCTTTAAAATGATTCACGTTATAATACTATAGCTGTGGTAGAGATGAAATTAGGTTTACACACGTGTTCGTCGTAAGCTCGCTTCTAGCTTGATCAACACACATCCTGTAATTTTTTTTTATTTTTTTTTTTTAAGTTCCTTATTATGAAACCGACATTTATGGAAGTTTTCAAATTTTCCACTTCGAAAACTTTCGGGCATATAAGCATTTAAACTTCAGTCGACAATTAATATTAATTTCTGATCAAACCAAGATACCTACATATTTTATGGTACCTATTGTTATGAGCTTGGCATATAATATCAGTAAAAATCTCTCGTATATAAACTATATTGTCTATCTCTTGGTTTCAAGTTTCTTACTTCATCATTTTGGAATTTTAATATTATTTCATTCTATTTTATTAACCATTTCTTGCTATCTAGGTTTTCATGAAACCTGTCTGTCATTAATCAGTAGTTTCAGATTTATTCTGCCTGTTAACAGCTTTTCTAACATACGTTTGATTATGTCAAAGGTACCAACGGTATTAGATCTATGGATACTGTCACCAATAAAGCTTGCATATATATCCTATGTATATATTGCGAACCGTGTTGTCTGTCCGAGCGTTCGTCTGTCTCCAGTTTGAAAAGCTGCACACGCAAGCAAAGCTCAACATTTACTTTTTAAATGACGGGAGAACAGGCATGAATAATGTTGATTCCAAATTTTATTTCACAAGCAGGATATTCTACACTAAAGTGTTAGGAATTAATCACACTATCATTCACATTTCAAAATGTGACGTAAATTAAATCAATACAAATGTGGATTTACCGTATGTTATTGTTGTGCGGCTCTTAGCATAACTGAAATGCTCAATTATTTTTCTCGGTGGGCGATACAAGTAGCTCAGAGCTTCGGCTTCGAGTGAACCAAGAGTGCAATTAACCTTTTTAAAGTCCATCAAATAATTTCAATTGAAAGATTAACTTAAACTTTTCCCGTCACAGGGGACGGGTACTTTTGCTTTTGTGTGTGTGTATATATATTAACACATATCGGGTGGATGTCTCAAACGTTTCTGTTCAAGTCCCGACTATTTGTTATAAAATACAGCTGGCCTTGCGCATGTTTGGCTTCGAAACGCTGCAGGTTCAGTGAAAAACAAATACGTGCTGGAAATCCCTATACTGTCATAGAGAAACCTGACATTGTGGTATTCAGGTCCACTGATTTAACAGATAAATTTAAAGTATCCAAAAGAATACAGATTCCGGAAATGTACTGCAGAAAAAATAAAACTTGGACAGAAAAGGAAAGAAACAAGAGAATAAATAAAAGAAAATCGTTGTTCAAAATGACAGTGTTTATGCGAGTCTGACCCGTCTTTTTTTATTCGTTTGAGCTCAGACAGACCGTTGGGGCTCGAGAGGATCTCTACCCGACAGCACAGGACAAAGACGGAAATTATATTATATCGCACTTACAAAATCAGAAATCGGGCCCAAGTGCGATATACCATAATCTCCGATAACATATGCAGAGGGGAATTCCCCTCACTCTTTTCCAAGATTTTGAGATAGACGTAAGAGTATGTGACCTTTCCGGTTAACGACAATGTCATAACCTCATGCAGAATACCTGTACGACTGTTAGCTTGCTACTAACACACACTACTACAAAATGTTGTCAATTACAAAACAAAATGGCTACAGAAGCTGGTGTGTTTTCACCAGCTTCCTTCAACAGCCCGATCGCATAGAAATCGATAGGTATTACATGGCGGTGGCTTGACCGGTATGTTTGTGTATGGAATAGCGTGAATATCCGTTTCATTTTCCAGATGCTTAAAGTAGGTAACTCTTGAACGGAAATGTACTTGTGTACATGTGACGTATTCCGCTTTTCGAAACGGAGATCCTTCTTAATTATGTTGCGCATTGGGGCATGTGGATAGCTTTATTAACTGACCTATGTGTATGTGTGTGAATTCTTACCTGCTCAAAGACTTCACACCTTGCTTACCGCAGCTAGGATACGTGCGACGTGTTGCAAGTCTCTTTCTGGAGGATCCTAGGTTACCAAGTTGATCCATATCTCCGTTTTGGAAATTCTAAATCCCCAATCTGAACACATGTTTATGGTCTGAGTGTAAATATAGTGAAATTTTTGGAAGAATATTCTTGAGCTTCATTTTCGACGAGTTAGTATTTAGAACATTGACGACAGTTAAAATATCACCATTTATCAACACGTTCATAATGTTATAGTTCGTACCTAATAGTTAATTTTTAAAACTTACCCACTATTGTAATTTTTTTGTTTTACTTAAGTAGAAGAGTTAATGTAGTTTTCTATGAGTACACGTAGAATAGACATAAAGGATTGAGTACGTTAAATTAAAACGATTTTGAAAATGCAAATCAGCAAGTTACGTGATAACAGCCGACATAAAGTCGCGGTGGAACGACGTGTAAAAGAACAGTATTTTGATATTTTTTGGCCTTTCGAAGGTACTGTGACACCACCGATAATTAATCGCTTTTGGAAAGGGCATGTAATAGTACACATCGACGCAAAATATTAAAATTTCCCTTGATATTGATGAACATAATTACGAAAGCAGTCTGACGACACAACAATCTCGTTTAGTGACAACCAGTGTCGTTTAACGGCAATCTACCATCTTTAA